TGACCGGCGCTTTGCAAGGCGTCGGCGGAGCGGGGTGAGCCCTCGGGGGGCAGCGCGGCGAAACGCGTGTCAGCGCGCAGGGTGTTTCGAATCTCTGCTCCCTGGCACCTGTCTGCCACTTCCGGGCAGCACCGCACACCCGCTGCAAATAAACGTTACTTATAAGGTTGCAGGGAATTGGTACAGAAAGTTACTGGACTGGGTCGATGTTTAGCTGAAATAGGGTATTACTGATTCTCCCTTTACATACTAGTGTTACACCAGTGCTGAACTTAAACAAGCTTTTAAAATTTAATCATTCTATCACAGAACGTTTCTGACTCTAAGCCAATGTAGCAGTGAGCTGATAAAAGTCGATATCTTTCCCTTGCCTGCATGCAGTGTGTGAAGCAGCCAGCCGGGGAACTTTTGTTCTCCAGTGTCAACCAGTAAATACCTACCTTGTACCTGTGGTTTGGTTTTTCTTAAATCTGTGTTTTCACTTGTTTCTGTCAAGCTATCCACTTGCAAAAATCAGTAAGATAAAATTATGTCTTCAAGATAAAAAATAACATACATGTAACCATGGTGTGGTGTTAGGAGGGATGTGAAGTAATGCTCAGTAAGCTAAGGAAATGGGAAACTTTAAAGACCAACTAAATATAATACTGTTTCATTTTTAAATACTCTCTAAATTCTTCTGGTGATCTACTTGAAAGAATAAACTTAGATGTGATGTAAAAGTTGAGACCAGGTGTCTTGGTGCTAACAACTGTTGTACATACAATTCCACCAGGTTTGAATAAATGTAAATTCTGTCTATACTGTACAGACTTTACATTTCATTCCATAGGTACAAAGTTGTATTATTAGCTTGCTGGAATGCCTTGAGATCTTGTGAATGCTAAAAACTGCAGAGAATACTTTGCCTGTAGCTCACATTTTCTTTGGTACCAAAGAGAGACAATTGCAAGAGACAAGTCCGTTGGAAAGGAGGTGTTATTGATTACAGTGATCAAGAAATTGCCTAGATGTACTCTCGAAGAAACAGTTAGATGTACATAGGTACAGATTCTATCTGTCATACCTAGTAATTATTTCTATTTGTCTAGGTCTTGTCCATATGAATAATACAGTAATGTAGTACAATTAGTAGAAAACTTAACAGCGTTATAATTACTTTCATGTATGAAGATCTTCTGATGACATCTCTGCTGTATATTTTGACTGCAGCTTGCATCTGGTACAGAGCTATTTTTTTCTTAGTACCATGCTTCGTGTGACTTTTGGGCTGTGGTAACCTCTGTTTTCTTAAGAGAGCTGCGGTTTTTATTTCTAAATTTCATAGATCATAAGCACATCACAAAGACTGAGCAATTCAGGGAGTGTTCTGATTGGGAGTCCGTATAACTCAGCTCCAACAATGGTCACACAGACACACATAACGGAAGCTTCTGGCTGGGTCCCCGGGTAAGATCTTTGTTTTATTTAAAGGTGTTCGAGGATCTGTTCTGTTTTTTTTCCTTTATTTATACTGTTGTGTCTATATGTTGGCTTACGGCTTGTAGTTCTTGCATAACTGAGTGTGCTCTTTAGCCTGCTATGCACTTTTGATGTCTGGAGCATGTGAACATGGAAGTACAAGCACCAGTCACTCCACTCTCTGTTTTGATTTTGTTTTATGGCAGTGTCTGTTTCTTTGTGAAAATGGAGAGTTACAAATTCAGGAGTCCTGTTAAAACAGCCTTTATTTTTTTCATAAGTTCATGGTATATCCAAGTAGCTTTGCTGTTGAGCATATCAGCAAGTGCCAGCAGAGAGAGACTGTCAGAAACACTTCAAGAGGCATTTAAGAATAAAGCTCTAATGGAAGATTCTGAATGTAACCAATGTTGTATTTTTATTACCACTTTACAGTAGCAACAAGTTTTCATGGGGTTCCGAGGCACTCCAGAGTCACATGACTATCTTTTCTAAGGAATCTGGTCTTGACAGCATTTCATGATTTATGTTTTTTTAATACCACTGCTACTGAGCTTATCTGTCTCAAGACAATTGTAGTGCTTTGCCTCTTAAAATTAAAAAGTAATTTATTTCCTTATCTGGGTTAGTTTTTCTAAACAGGTGGTGAATGTCAGTAGTACCTTTCCAGCTTTAGAGATGGGAAAATGGAGCATCTAGCACATATCAGAAATGAGAGTATAATGTTTGTACCTTGACTTTCTTCATTCTGTGCTGTGAGCAAGGCCTGTCATAGTCTTGTACTTCACACTTGCTAGATACCCACCATAGAGTCAATAAACTGCATGCCTGCCTGAGCAGTTTTTAGGCTTGATTTTTTTGCTGAATGTGTGTTTAGCTCCTCAGATACCTTTTGAATCCACTTTGTTCTGATGTTATTTGAAAAAGGAGATCTCAAAGACTACTTTGTTTCTGCAAATTTTGTGAAACGTGCAGGCCTGGCAGAAGTTCTTTCAGTACCCAGAGCAAGGAAAGCTATAGTGTGTTCACAGCTTGCTAAAGCAGAGAATCAGTGCCCATTAGCTTTTTTAAGCTTCATCCAAACGCAGGTGATGGAGATTCTCAGAGAGAAGCCTAGCTGCAGTGCATCAACCACCACCACTGAGGAGAAGCACCATCCCTCTGTTGGTATACTGTCAAAATCTAGACATAGTATTTCCAGGGAGCATAACTACTGTTTCACCCATAAAACGGAGCAAGATGTTCTCCAAACTGGCCAGTCGGTATTGATCCCAGCAGAAGTCCACACGATAGGTCATATTTTCATCTGAAGAACAGAGGTGAGGAAGGGTCCATGGTATTGTCAAACCTAAGTGGTTAGTTCTCAGCGAAGACAGTTCCAGAGGACTGCAAGTCCAGACTCCCTGCTTTACCCGTTGTTTACTTCTCTTCGGAGGTTCCAGACTGTTTCCAGAATCAGAA